TTTTAAATAATAATATACAAAGACTCTAATCTAATAGTAAATTAATAACAATAGTTTTTTCTAACAATATTATGATGCTTTGAAAATAGTACCAGCACCATCTATAGCAAATAGTACAAACAATGTTTCTATTAAACAAAGGATATTTAAAAAACAAAAAACAATGTTCGCACTATGTGCTATAGATGGTGCTGTTACTATTTTTGCACACCTTAGTGAACCCTTCTTTCTCGACAGAGTAAATGGGCACCACGTTTTTTGTGACATGAAATGCCATCACAACAGAAGTCAACTTCGGGTATTCTTCTCAAATCCGAATTTCTTCCCCATTTACGGAGTGACATCCAGTCAACATGGTTGTGCACATCATCAGAAATGAGCATAGTAAAACTTCTTACCCTTAAATTAATTATATTGTATATAAGTATTAGCTTTAGATTAATCAACATACAGACATATTCATCTGTTAAATCAAAAACACTGACTATACAGTTCGCTGTTTGAGAAAGAAAATATACGTCACTCATCTGACTTAGCTGGCTAGCTTGTTGCTAAGAAAATACGCAGAGGGGGCATCAGTTTTCCCACTTCGTCTGTCGAACGTGCCGAGGTCAAAAATGATGTAATTCCGACCAGCAACTTACCGCTTGGGATGCAATGCAGCATTATATTTTACATAAACGTGTTCATCTGACTTTTCACTGTCATGTAACTGTCATGTCAGAAGAAGCACTGTTTGCCTTTTCTATCCTTTTACACATTCTGAAGAGTAGCGTAGCTTAGCTATCTTCATTTATAAAGTAACTGACCCAGCATTCAGTTTCATTAATTCTTGTGCATTAAATCACAAGCTTACCTTTCACAGTTTAACTGTCTATTTGGTTACAGTCAGTGCTTCTTCTATCTATCTGTCCAACTAGTCATCCATCTATCCATTAGGGGTGTAACGACACACTCCAGTCACGATTTGATTTACAATACTGGCTTCACGAATCAATTCAATTTGATTCTCAGAATATTTTGAACAAAATTTGAATGAAGAAAAATTATGAATGAAATGACTCTTTTTTTTTAAGCTCTGAATTATGAACAATGCAAAACAATGTGCATTTTGTCTGTATAAAATTAAATAAATAAAATTGCTACAAACAGATTTAATATTGTAGAAAAAATGTACTACAGACTCACCATGTCTTAAAAATAAATTTAAAAATTTGACTGAATAATCAAAGTCTCTGACCTGGGAAAAATGAATGAAATCTAATGAGCTCCGTAGCAGTACCTGAGGCATCATTTTAACTGGAAACAGAGTTCCAAAGTTGGCTAAAATGCCCGACTTCCACAACTCTCTCTCAGGCACTGTAGATCGCAGAAGCATGGGGCTGGTATTGTTTGAAAGCTACTGAAGAGCTCTTTGTAACTGTTATATTATGGTTGTGTAACCATGGAAATGGATTATCACATTTTTGCATTGCGATGCATTGTTACACCCCTAGTACCCATCCATCCATCTCTCTCAAGTCTAAGTGGATTTTGGAAGCCAATGTAATGTGACCAAGGAGCAGTCTTTGTTTCTGAATCAAAATTTATATATGAAGCAATGAAAGCCTTTTAGAATTAAACAAATATATGTTTAAAATCTTTAAATGTTATATTATAAAAATTGCATATAATGTATGTGCATGTCACATAAATGACCTTTTTCAAAATCACCCCCTACACATTAAAGCTACACATTACACAGTGAAGCTCTCAAGTGAGATAATTTACAGCTTATATTTTCCATAGTAAAGCCAATAATGAAACTCAACACAAAGACTCAACGTGTGTCGATACGTACCAGACTGCCACAGAACAAACACGGGCCAGAGCCCTCCTGCTCGCACACGATCCGACCACAGGTCAGGCAGTTGTTAATCAGTTTGTGTTTCTGAGCTAAGCAGTCACAGGAATGGCGTCCAGGCAGCAGGACAGCAAGTCTATCCTGACCCTCTTTGGCGTATAAATTCACAAATTTGTTCTTCTTCTTAGTGGCGGAAGAGCTGCTGCTGTTCTCTTGGGCCTACACAAAATAAACACAATCTTAACCTGAGGTTTCATATCTGAGAAAACAAAGCCTGGTTGAAAGTCATGACACACACCTTCATCAGGTCGATGGGAGTTCTTACAATCTCCGGCTCGGGCTCAGGCTGACTGATCGAGACCACTTCTTGTTTGTTCCGTCCTTTCCGTTTTTTCTTCTGCGTGTCTTTTGTTGTGTCTGGACCCTCTGTAGAAGCAGTTTGTTTAAAAAAACAGTTGATCAAAAAACAAAATGAAGGTGAGTGGCCATCTCACTCACCTGTTCTCATGAGGATCACTTCTGGCTCCCTGTCCTGCTGTTTCTTACAGCGTCGCAATCTCTCCAGCAACTCGTCAAGAAACTCCTTCTTCTTCCCTTCAGTTCCTTGCAGAAGATCACCGACATACTCCACAACCTCATCCACATTACTGATGGACAGGATGTACCTACAACACAACAAACAGTGAGCAGTTAGACAGATCAGCATGCAACTGACTAAGCATCAAGGAGATGTCGTGAGAGAGAGAGAGAGAGAGAGAAAGAGACAGAGAGACAGACAGAGAAACTGGCAGATAGAGACAATGAGACAGACAGAGAGAAATACAGAGCCAGAGACAGACATTAACCCAGACAGACACAAAGAGAAAGAGCAAAAGAGACAGACAGACAGAGAAAATGAGATACAGAGACAGACAGAGACAAAGCAACAAAGAGACAGAGACACAGAGAAAGAAGAAGACAAAGCGAGAGAGAAAGAGAAAGAAGACAAAGACAAAGAGACAGAGAGAGATGCAGAGACAGAGAGAGAGACAGACAGACAGAGAGACAGCGAAACAGACAGTGAGACAGACAGACAGACAGAGAGACAGACAGAGAGACAGCGAGACAGAGAGACAAACAGAGAGGTAAACACACATGGAGAGATGCAGAGACAGATAGACAGATAGATAGACAGACAGACAGAGAGACAGCAGGACAGACAGACAGACAGACACAGTGAGACAGAGAGACATTTTATTGATCCTCACAGAGAATAATGACTAAACCTTTTAGACCCATGAACACTTCCACACACTGAAACACTCAGAGTTACCCTGACTATCCTAATTCAACACGCTAACGCCTTTCTTTATTAGTTGTGCTAGTTATAAAATATCAGTGACGTTTCATTGCTAGCGACATCAGTAGCTAACTAGCTAGCATGCTATAACCAGAGCAGAGTGAAAACACAGCTTCAGCTCATATCACAGGTTACACACACAAGCTATATTGACGGCTTGCTATAGCTAGCAGTGGCGCTAACAGCTATCCGGCTAGAATGCTAAGCTAGCATTTCACAGAGTAGCTACTCACTGAACAATGTCATCACTGGCTTCCAAGCCAAACTGGCTGTTTAACTGCTCCACACACCAGCGATGCAAAGATTCCGACATTATCACTAATTTGGTGAAGAGGTTTTGTTTTAGAAGACGAAACGAAACGAGCAGTTTCCCTCAGCAGCTAGCTAGTGCTGATAGTGTGACGTGAGCCTCGTGCTTCAAAATAAAAGCTTCATAATGATGATTAACTAAATGATGAGCAACTGTATTAAAAAAAAAAAAAATTAAACAAGTATGAAAAAACAGTCATAGACCCATATGACTTTGTGGGAATTAATTCAAAATCTAACAGTACATTTTTTTTAAACAATGCCAAGTAAACATACTTTCTTTTTTCTTTCTTTCTTTCTTTCTTTCTTTTTTTTTTTTTTTTTAAATTTTATTTAGGAGAGTTTTTTTGATGTGTATTTTATTTTATATATATATATATATATATATATATATATATATATATATATATATATATATATATATATATAAATAATGAGCACTTACATAAAACAATAATGAGCACTTACATAAAACTTACATAAAACTTGTAACATGTAAAACATGTAACAAAAAAAAAAAAAAGAAAAAGTGAAAACATGGACAAGTAGAGGAAAGTAGCTTATACCTCATCAATAGTACCACCAAAACATCTCTCATAGTGTTTCAGGAATCTGTCACATTTTCATTATTAGTTAAATAGCAAGATTTGAGGACTGAGTCAGTTTCAGTTAATAATGTGAGCGAGTAGGCTGCCAAGTAAACATGTAAGTAAAGTAGGATGAGATTTAGTCAAAATACAGATGAAGCAGGATGATGTAATCATTAATAATTAAAATTAGTTTTAAAATAATGGATAAATACCAATAAAAATGTGTCTCTGACTTCAGCCTATCAATCTACAAACCTGCAGACCATGAATACACCAGACTAGACATATAATGTGTTTTCCATGACACATGACATCATTCAAAATTGTGGGTGATTTTTATGTTGCCTGCTTTGTTCAAATGTTTTCATTTTTAATGATTTGAACATATGGAACATAATCATAGTCTGAGATTTACATACTGAACATGTAGGTTTTCCTTTAATCTCATCATTCATTCATTTTCAGCTTTATCCTGGTCAGGGTTGTGGGGAATCCGAAGCCTAGGAATACTGGGAGCTCAGAATACAGCCTGAATGGGATGCCAGTCCATCACACACACCATGCACACACACACACACACACACACACACACACACACACACACACACACTTATACCTAGGAACAATTTGGCATAGCCAGTCCACCACCTGGCATGTTTTCGGGAGGTGGGAGGAAACTGGAGAACCTGGAGGAAACCCACACAGACACAGGGAAAACACAGCAACAGACAGTAACATGATCACAGGAGTGTCCTGTGATGGATTGGTGTCCATCCTCCACTTTTAAACCCCTCTTTGCAACCAATAATCCACCATGACCCTGAACTGGATAAGCAATTACAGACAGTGAATATATCAGTAAATGAATGGACACAATTACATCTAAAATAATCACCTGTAATAAAAGCCATGATTTGGGTCCTTGGAGGACTAGTGGTTAGGCTACAGTGCTCTCACTGCTGCAGCCCGGGTTCGAGTCCCGGCCACTGGGGTTGTGTGCAACAGTGCGCTCTCAGTGCCGGTCCCAAGCCCAGATAAAATTGGGGAGGGTTGGGTCAGGAAGGGCATCTGGCATAAAAACTGTGCCAAATCAAATACGCGGACCAATGATCTGCAGTGGCGACCCCTAATGGGAGCAGCCGAAAGAAGAAGAGCAACAACAACAATAAAAGTCATGATTTATTATCGCAGTCAGTCACCAGATGGCATAGTGGTATTACTGGAAGCCTGAACATTGCGAAATCACTTCACTGAGCCTTGTGTCATAGTAAACTTTGAGTCGTTTACTGTAACATGTAACTGAAAGATTTAAAAAAACAGAATTTGTTGTGTTGTTTGAAATATTGATCCATATAGTAAATATAAATATTTAGCATTTACAGAAGGAGTCTCCAGTTTCAGCATTTTGTTACAGCCAGAGATGAAGCTGTAACTTTCCAACTTTCCAAACACAAGAAAGTCTTCTGGACAGACTTCGGACTTCAGTATGCGCTTTATGGTTTCTCTGACAAAAGAGTTGCTGGTGAGGGAAGGACTGTTTATAGCTGCTCCTAACTTGTTTTGGATGTTCCACAACTTTAAACGTAACCATAAATGGATAAAAAGTATGCGATGCCATTCTTTAATTAATGAAAATGTGTAATCGGTGTAATAGCATAATTGCTGTGGTATGATGAATCATATAAGACTTTGAGCTGGCATGTACTGTTACAGAAAAACAATCAACATCAGAGTGGTAACAGAAACTCCTCCTTTTATTCGACTGCATCACACCACACCATCACTGATTATTTTATTTTTCTTTTATTTCTTACATAATGCGCATAGTGGAAACAATTTACTTCATGTTATCACTACATAATAAGACCTATAAACTACATTTGATCGTGATTTCTCTTGCATAGTTATTAGGTGATTAAGGAACCTCCTTTGAATAATCTTTTTTGTGTAGAATTCACCTGAAGCCAGAGTAAAACCGAACTCTACACTGAATGCAGGGCGAATATTCCGGCAGCAGTTGGTCCCATGTTGGTAGATAACTTTAAAAGGTTATCAAAAGGAAGTGTGTATTGTGTCTATCACTTGTAGTACATTTCCTTTCACATCCATGTTACCATTCTTCAGCTTTCTATCCTTGTATCATTCTAAAGAAAAGCATGACCGTGAGCACTCTTTATTTTTCTAAGATATAGAAAAATATCTTTATTTGTCACTCTACATCATAAAGGCAACTTTGAAGAAAATTAAAAAAGAAAAAAAAAGGAATCTCAGACCTATGCAGCTTAATGATGACTTATAGCTGCTTATAGCAGTGTTCGCTGGCGTTAAGGTTGAAAATGTGCAAAATTAGACACATCATCCCCACCAGATACAAGGAAACAGTGCTCACTCTATGATACATGGAAATACATTGAAATATTGCTGATTTCTTTACTTTGTCATGTAAATGAAGAGAAATAAAATAAAAAAAACAAAAGCTGAGCGTTACCAGTGTGTATCAGGTTACAGTCCAGCTACTGTGTGAAGGCTATTATGATTATAATTGATTATATGAATAGTTATGAATATGCTGCACATTTAGATCACTTTCACTTATAAACTGAGAGTAATAACAGAAATTAATTGTATTTTAACTACAAAACACCAGACAACTGTCAGTACTGCAAGGCATTTCTACCCTTTATTACTCGCTTGCTTTAAACAGTTCAGCTAAAAAAATGAAATTTACACAAAGGTAGTCAATCAGCCAAGACAAGATTGGGGTCTAAAGTTTGCTTATTTAGTTTTGTCTTGGAGACCAAAGAGAACTGAGAATCGAGAATCTATGTCCTAACTGATTTAGTTTCTATTTATTTAAGGAAAAAATGTGTACATTTCATTTTGGATGAACTACACCTCTGACTCTGCAGTAAACTCTGAAAAGCTGCAGGAAAAACTACACACACAGGGTTTAAGTGAAGAAGTCTTTGGAAATGGCTTCGACGAAATTAGGAGCTGACATGAGGATGCCGATGGTGCAGAGGACAGTGAACATGGAAAAGGCCATGAGACACAAGCGGTCGATAACTGAGGCAGCAAACTTCCACTCGCTACACAAAGACTCCTCTTCATCCTGGTCGTGGAACCTCTTGGCAATATAGCGCACCTCGTCCAGGATCTTGGACAGCTCCGTGTCTCCCTGCCCGCTGCTCACTGACGGAGCCTCTTCGGACGTCCCCATGAGACGGGCACACACCACCCCTGAGTCGGGCGACGTGGCACAGGGCAGGCTCTCCATACCACGCAGGCCCATGTAGAGAACGTTTCCATTGGTCGGTTCCACGCTGGAGACGCTGCTGCGTGGACGCTTGTCGTGGCACGCTGAGCGCACTCGCTCCTCGCCCGGCCTTTTCATCCGCAAGAACCATGCACACCAGTTCACCAGCACCACACGTGTCTAGAGAAATGATAACAGGAAAACATTCCCTTACAGAACATACACACTGACTTCACACAGGAATAATCACGATTCATGTTTTATTTCCACATGATTCATTTATTTCACCTGATTATTTCCCCCCAAATGATTCACTTATTTTCACCTGATTTTTTTTTTCATGATTCGTTTATTTTCACATATGATTTCCCCCAAGTGATTCATTTATTTTCATGTTCTTCCCCCATATGATTCATTGTTCCCATATGATTTGTTTTTCATGTTATTTCTTTCATATGATTCATTTATTTTCACATTATTTTTTTCCCCACAAATGATTCCTTTCTCACGTGTGATTTTTTGTATGTTTAATTTATCACATTTATTTTCCCATGATTTTTTTTTTTACATGATTCTTTTATTTTAACATGTGATTTTTCCCCCAAATGATTCATTTGGAGAAGAAGAAAGAAATCTTTATTTTCATTATACTTGCATACATTTTATTTTCATGAGATTGTCCATGTGATTCATTTATTTTCACATGTGATTCTTTTTTCTCATGATTCATTTATTTTCCATGTGATTCTTTTTTCTCATGATTCATTTATTTTCATATGTGATTTTTCCCACATCATTCATTTATTCTCACATGATCTTTTTTTTTTTTAACCCTAATCATTTATTTTCACATGTTAAGTTTTCACATTTAGGCTATAAAACTATGTATAATTCATTTAAAATTTTGATTTAAAAAAACTGTACCTGACAAATGACAAATATATTGCTTATTCCTTTCTATTTTACCAGATTTACCATCTTCCCTTCCCATAACTTCATCTTTGCTCTGCATATTGTTTATATCTGTGTAACACTTTTACTCATCCTTAATGTATTTGGGTTTTATTATGAAGAGCTATATAAATCAAATATAAAGTGGTAATAATAATAATATTATTATTATTATTATTATTATAATATTCAAGAAAACAGCTCACCCATCTTGGCATTTTTCCTCCATCGGGATCATGGTAGTGGTACTGTAGGACCCAAACTGTGGCTATCACCGACAACCCGACGATAACCATGGTAGTGGCAAAATACTGAGCTTGAGAGAAAGACAACAGAGGCACTGATTCAGAAACTTCCTCTCTGAAAAATCACACTTTTTATGTTAATCCTCCATATTGGCAGAGTAGGTCCACTCACTTTAACCACACAGCCATCTTGAACAACCCTTAACCGCTAAAATTGCAGGTTATTATTCAGTTATTCACTGTAGATTAAAATCTTAACTACTATAAATGATTAAATAACTACAGAGAGACTAATATGAAATGTCGTAAGTACCAGAGTGAGGTGTGTAAGTCAGCATCCAAGTAAATCCATGTTTTATTTAACTTCTATGCAGTCGCTAACACAACACATGCTTGGAATTAGCCTTGTTTCAATTAGCTTGTCTCCTTTTAGCTCTAAATAATTGCTTCACTGTATCAGACCTACCGATTAAAGGCACTGAGTCTGATGTCGCAGGCATGATTTCAGCAACCAGGAGCATGAAGACAGTCAGTGAGAGCAAAACTGTGATTCCTGGGAACGGAAACACTCATTACACACCAGCATGATCTAATTTTACATTGATGAGTTTATACAGTCTGCTTTATTCAGAACAACTAGCAATTGCACAGGGGTGTCTTGTGATTGGGCAGGAAGACATTAAATAACAGTCCTTGTAATAAGCAATTGAGAGTTGACAAGACTTGAATAAACTTGAGCAAACTAACTATATACACCAGTTTTCAATGAGTAAACAAATACAAATTTCAATAAGAAATAGCCTAACGAAAAGTCTGACATATTTCAGACGCACAATTTTTTTTATCATGACTTTACTAAAATCAGATGGTCTAATTTTATAAGCAGTTGGTGCAATTATAATGGTTTCTGGTTTGCACTCCAAAGACACATTAACAACCTAGCTAGTTAAGTAGCTAGCTAGATAACAGAGCGGGTTAAACTTGCTGATCACATCCTGTCTAATCAAGGAAAAGGACCAAAAACTATGGACTTTTTACTCATTTTGATAACTTGAGTTCAAATAGATTTTTTAAAAATAAATTCAACTGTGATTCATACAGCAGGTGTGGTTCCTGTTGTCACAATGTGTGAGACAAAGACCAAAGAGGTAATATTATTAACTGTCAAAACTGACAAAACAGTCAGAGAGAGAGAGAGAAAGAGAGAGAGAGAGAGAGAGAGAGAGCGTAGGGCAGTGTAATTCTTTCCCCAATGGGCCTCTATTATCACTTGTTGTAATTCCCTTTTTGACCACTAGGTGCACTAATAACGCTACTGAGCTGAATGAGGAAGTGAGCATGCTTCCCTATGATAGTTCAACATCTAGAAAGGTGACCAGATCCATGGAACATTGACTTACATCTGTAAAACAGCAACATTTTTTAAATCATAGGTCACTCAAAAGAGGTAATTAGTATTTAATTGGTATTTAAAATGCATGGAGCTGTAAATGATTAACATTTGTTAAATGGTTGATATAAATGCCCCACCTACATCTA